CCCTCGCTTTTCTCTGTTGACAACACTTTGTTATGTTACTGATATGCATATCGGATCAAAATAACTTTCATTACGAGATTAGCGATCAGAATTTCCGTTTTGGAATCGGGATCAATGGAAAATCTGGGATGACATGAAATACACGGGATTACTCATTCTTAGAGCGGGATTAGACATACACATAGGATAGGGGGCCAAAATTTGTTCCCTTTTCCAATTTATGCAAGATCCTAAAGAAAGCATAAATGTTCAATGCTTAATTTTATTGTCTGCAATGTTGAATAAAAGAACCTTCATGGAATAAAGCCTAAAACTTGTGCAACCATCACTTAGTGTACATGTATATAATCGTTTCAATGCAAAACTCGCTTATTGTGCGGTTGAACGATTATATGGACACCAGGCCTTAACAATGTAACTAATCTTACATACCTTCTGTTTCTGGTGTATCTTGACTATCCTCTTTTTTGTCAGTATCTTCTCCTTCTTCTGGTTTATCGTCATCTTTTTTCTCTTCCTCTTCATCTTCCTCCTCTTCTCCTGCTTTTTCTGACGCTTCTGTTAAAAAAAATGAATTCAGCTTTTGCGGTACTCAATGATAAAACCTGGGTACTTTTCATATTAATGCTAGTTTTCGCTTATTTCATTAATTTTGTTTAAATGTTTTGGTTTTTGTTGCTATTTTTTACAAATTCATTCCAGTACATGAGTCTTCACCAAATGTAACTTACTTAATTCTACCTCCTTTCAGGCACCGCGGAGCCCGTGTTGTTTAGGGGGAACTTAGCCCCCCATCTTTTTTGGTTGCCATTTTGAAAAAATTCGTCCAATTCATCTGATGCTTCTCGAAAATCCTGTTCCGATTATTATCCTTGATATTTATGTTTAATAGTGAGTCTAGTGTTCGTATGTATGTATAGTAGTGATCTGCATCAACCTACTTTCTTCCTCGTCCTGTTCAGCTTGCATTGTTTGTTCAGTAGTGAGTCTAGTGTTCGTATGTATGTATAGTAATGAT